TTCACAACAACCTGTGAGGTCAGTAACTATCACTCCACCTTTACAAAGCAACAGCAAGAGGCTAGAACTGCTGGGGCCGCGCATGCAGAACGGGGTCCTGAGTGCAGGTCTCGCGGCCTCTGCACCAGGGGCTCCTACAGCGGCTGCAGCTTGTGCTCATTGGGAGGATGGCCTCGGTGTCCTAGGTGTTGTCTTCTGAGAGTGAGCTTCTTGTCACAGAAGGCATGTAAGCTGGTCTCTCCACACAAAGCTCCGTGGGTAGGTTAGTTAACCAGCAAACAGCTGCATGGATGGGTAATTAATCAGAGAACAACTGCGTAGATGGATAGTTAACCAGGGAACAGCTGCATGGATGGATAGTTAACCAGGGAACGGTTGTGTGGATGGGTAGTTAACCAGGGAATAATTGCATGGATGTATAGTTAACCAGCAAGCAGCTGTGTAGGTGGTAGTTAACCGGCGAACAGCTGTGTGGATGTATAGTTAACCAGGGAACAGCTGGTGTCCATGAGAACTGCAGTGCCCGCTGTGGGTGAGGATGGCAGGGCTGCCGGGCCTGGCAGCGTTGGGGCACGGGCCACTCGGTCTGTGCAGAGCGGTTTCTTTATGACGACACACTTCCGGCCACTGGCAGCGAAGGGTCTTGGACAGGAATGTCTGAGTCAACCAGCTGGGGCAGAAAGAGATCTCAGAGCAGGAGCAGGCTGCGGTGTCCTCTGTGCTTTCAGAGAACGGGGGAAGAGAATTCGGGGACACTGGTTACTAGGGCGGGGACACTGTTAAGGCGCTGCAGCAGCCATGGAGTGAAATGGAAACCACACGCTCATGAACACACACACACACACACACACACACACACACACTCCCCCACCCCCCCCGCCCCATCTCAGCCTGTCATGTGTACCCAGAACTTACTACACAAAACTGATTTGGGTTTAGAGAGATCTGATTTTATGTAAAACAAATTTCATCAGGATTTTCATATGAAGAGTCCATTTCTCCCCAAATGCACCCTGCTTGGCTGCATGCTAATGTGGTCACATCCAATCTCGAGTTCTCTGCCCCTGGCTGCTGGCTGAGCGTGGGGGAGGCAGTTGCCATCCTGAGTGGCTCCCAGGGCCTGGGCTTCTGTCCCCTGAGCTCAGGGCTCAGAGCTCAGAGAGAGGCCGGGTGAGCATTGCAGGAAGCGCAGACTGAAGGCAGCGCAGGTGTGAACGAGGAGAGCTGAGCCGTGGGAGCACTATCTATGGAATGGCTGGTGGCGGTGGTGGGTCAGCCAACCCAGCATCCCCCAGTTACTCAAAAGTTATGAGGGGGGAGCTCAGCCGGGAGAGAGCTGGGCCCGCTGCCTTCTCAGGCTGAGCTCGTGAAAGTGAGTGGAATGAGGGGTCCCTGGCCCCTCACAAGCCACCTGCCCTGAGACTGCAGGTGGGCAGCAGTGGGCTCCTGTCACCAGAGTATCTCCAACAGAGATCCTGGGAGACCTTCAACATGCAAACTGTGGCTTCCGCCCAGCACAGAGACTAAGTTCCCTGGGACCAGAGGTCTCATCTAGACTTGCATTCTGGATGTTCCCGAAGCATGCCATCCCTGGGCCCAGGCAGGGGGCTACCCGGGCACCAGCAGTGTCTTCCTTGGTCCTGGGGTCTGCCCAGGGCCTGGGTCAGCCAGGAGGGCGGATAAGTGGTATGGGTAAATATTGCACCGTGTCCGAGTAGGCAGCTTGTCACTGCTTTGCCCCATAAATAACCAGATGTGACTTCAGTCTCCTGACAAGCCAGCAGGCAGACACCGGATCCAGTTTTGCAGAAACAGAAGCTGGGCTGTTGTTGGCAGGCGGTGGGGATGCTGGGAATGGGGCTCAGGTTTCCTGGTGGCACTGCTCATACCCATGACCCTCCCTGCACCTCCTGTCCTCGCATGCCCTCTCCAGGCGCCGGGCTGCTCTGGGTCTCTCTGTCCCCGCTGAACGGGGGATTCCGGAGCCTGGACCAATGGGGCCCCGGACCTCAGCACAGGGAGCCGGAGCTCCTGGCCTCTGCCTGGCTGTGCTGCTGGGGGCCCTGCTATGAGCCTGCCCTCTCTCCCCGCCCAGCCTCAGGCCACGGTCCTGGGCTTCTCTCCATCACCAGCAGCCTCGGGGGCCAATCACTGCTGCCCAGCCCCTGAGCACTGAGGCCAGCAGGAGCCTCAGGTCCTCAGCTGCCAGTTACCTTTAGACTCTGGGCCTACAACTGGGGCTCCTCTGCACGCCAGGCCAGCCTCCCCCATACCCCCTCCCAGGTCTGCCCACAGACCGTTCTCACCCTGCCGTGCCAGGGTGACCAGGTCTGCAGTGAAGGCCCTGGTGCCCGCCCCTTGGGACCTGAGTGCAGAGCAGCTTCACTCCTCCTGGCTCCCGGCGCCATGGTGGCATTGCCCAGTCTACCCCCAGGCTGCTGGCACATCCTCAGCTGCAGCCTGGTGCCACCGGGACATCCCACCAGTTTCCTCGAATATCTTCCCACTTTCCTCACTCCCACCTGTGGGAGAGCCGCTGCCCAGACCTGCCAGCGCTCAGAGTTATTCCTTCCCCCAGAACCACCACCTCTGCGTGTCACTCACTCATTCACACTCAGAGACTAGGCAGCGCCCTGAGCCTCTCCTGGGAGCCACGCACTGGGATGGAGCTGGGGGTGGACGGTCCAGCTCTACCCTTCACTCCCCCACCTTGCCCACCGCTGGCCTCCAGCCCTCAGCCTAGAGCAGCCGCCAGCGCCTTGCCCCCATCTTTGCCCATTGGCTCACCCTGCCTCGGCCATGGGCCCTGGGTCTCGGCCAGTGCTGCCCTTGTTCCTATAATGCCCTGCTTCCCAGCTCAGCGAGGCCACGCCTGCCTTCCCGCCCAGTTTCTGCTCTAGGGCCACCTCCTCCAGCCAGCGTACAGACCGAGCCATCCACTGAACTGTCTCTCTGGAGCTCGCCTGTTGAGCTCCTGACCGTTGGTATCGCAGATTTGACCCTATTCAGAGGACAACTCTCAGCAGGTAAGTGAAACTGACATCATTAGGGTGGGACCCAACCCAGTCTGACTGATGTCCTCACAGAAGGAGACGTTTGGACACAGTCACAAAGGAAAGGCTGCACAAGGACACAGGGGAAAAAACGCCATTTACAAACCAAGGAGGGAGAACCCTGTGACACCTTCACCGCCGCCGCTGGAGAAATGAGAGACGGTGTCATCTCCCAGCCGGCAGTGCTTTGCTGCCGTAGCCGACGCCACCTGTGCCTTCCCTAGGGCGTGAGTGTCTCCCCACAGCTCTTCCCCTCACGCAACCCTGTTTGCAGCAAGGCCCAACACTGTTCCCCCTCTCGCCATGATATTGGGAAGCCAAGGCCAGTGCTCGAAAGGCTTGTTGACTGAATGTGCCTGAGAGAGCCTGTGTGCCAGGGCACCATCCCACGTACACCAGGGCGCCATTCCATGTGGACCAGGGTGCCATTCACACAGGCCAGCGCTCCGTTCACACCGGCCAGCGCTGTGGCTCGTGTTGGAGGACAGCAGCCAGCCTTGAGTTTGCGACCCTGTTCTTGGCCTTCCTGGAGAGCGGTGCTCTCTGCCCCTCAGTTTGGGGCCATCTGGTGCAGCCTAGACAGACAAGGCGGCAGAAGGCATGTGAGCTAAGAGTGCCTACAGTCAGTGCGGGGTGACCCATCCTCGGCCTGGTCAGCCCTTTCCTCCGAGAGGCTGTGCCCTGACCTGGAGCTGTGTCTCCTCCACCACCTTCTCTTTGCAGGTACTTCCCCGCATTTACAGACAAGTCACCGTTTTCTAACCGCCCTCATCATTGTTCTGGACATAGCCACACACCACTCCGATGTCCGCAGTTCTGAACTCACTCACTGCCCCTGGGGCCACCAGACACCAGGCCCCTTTCTTGCCATCCCAGCCTGAGCTCGATTGGCGGGGTCTCGGGGCTGCGCGCGGCTTATAGGAACATGGGAATGACCCGGATCCCCTAGAGGAGAAGCCAGGGAGCGAAGACAACGCAAGGAGCTCAGCGCCCTGTCCCTGTGTGCCGCTGAGCTGGGCGTCCTCCAGAGGCAGGTGCGTGTCCCTCAGGAGTCCTGAAGGCTGCTGGGAGCCGGCAATCGCGGGAGGGAGGGCCCTCCATGCCCAACGGCTGAGCCCACAGGGACCCTGCTCAAAGGGGCTGGAAGTCCTTGGAGGGCCCCATGCGCAGTGGAGAGCAGGGGTCACCTGGCACCAAGTTTTCCCAGAAGCAGCTCTAGCTCTAATCGCCATGTGCATGTGGTCCTCAGTCTCCATGGAGGGATGGGGAGAGCCTGCCATACCAGGGCCTGGCTGGGACCCATGGCTGTGGGTGCAGAGCCGAGCAAGCAGGCCTTGGTGGGCTGGCCCTCAGGTGGGCACCCTATGCCTGCCCTGGGCAGCCTCATGTCCAGGACCTGTGCCTCAGCCACAGAAGCCTCTTGAGCAAGGTCCCCCACTCCCCGAAAGGCCCAGCAGGATGGCAAGACCACTGGAGGGGCTGACAGGGAGGAGGAGGGCGGCTTCCCTGAGGCTCGGGCTTCCTAAGGAGAGAGATGCCTGGAGAGGGTGGCGGCTTTACACTCAGGAGCGCTTACACTTGGAAAATAGTCATTTTAATAAAATAAAGACATCACAGCATCCCCATTAGTTTCCAGTAAGCAACCCCATTTTCCCCAGTGCAACAAGCTCTTCGAAAGGCAATCCCATGTGACTGGTGTGCAGGTAGCATAGGGGTCCTGGCTGCCAGCATGCTGTTTGCAGGAGCCCTGAGCTCCTACCCGTCTGTAAAAGCCCAGGTGGCGCAGGGCAAGGCCGAGGCCCCAGGGCCCCGGAGAGGCTGGCACTCCGGGGGCTTGGGGGCAGCCAGCCTTCCTCGGGGGCCGTGCGGAGGGCAGGCATCCAGGCCCAGCTTCCTCCCTGCAGCTGCCACGGCTGTTGCACCCAGGCCACCGCCGTCTCTTCCTTCCTACCCCTCGGCCGACCAGCAGAATATCCTCCCCTTCTCATCGCCCACCAGGAGCTTGGTCTGGTTTCTGGGGAAGAAAAAGAAGAGACAGGAGTGTCAGAGGAAGCTTATCTCAGCTGCAGCCAGGAAATGGCCAGCATGGAGGTAGCAGTCCCCACCGTGAGCCTGCCCTGCCTCCACCGGGGCCCTGCGCGTCCTCCGGCTTCCCCAGGTGCTTCCGGTGCTGAGATGCAGCCGGGACCGTGTGGCCTCTGACATGCGGCTATTCTGCATTGGGTCAGAGCCCTCCCGGCACTAATAGAATAAACACTGCAATGGGTAGTGGGGCCTCAGGGAAAGGACCTCTTTAGGATACAGTCACAAAGCAACTTATTTTCACCTTTTGGATTTCTTTGTGGATTCATGGGTGTTCAATGAGAGAGCAGGGACATGTATGTGCTAAAGTACATTTCCAAGGGCCCCGCATGGCCACCCAACTTGAGTCCTGTGCATGATCCTGGGTCCCACAGGGAGGCTGCATGAGCCTGGTGCACTTTCCCCAGGATGGCCACAGCGCCCTCTGCTGGAGGCCTGCAGAAGCCAAGCTGTGGTTACCTGGATACCGCCAGAGCTGTCACTGCAGGGCTGGTCTTGCTGGGCTTCCCTGTCAAAGCAACACTGATGTCCAGCTCTCTGCACAGGGCAAGATTCTTCTCACACCTGTGACCTGTGGGGAGCGCGCGAGAGCACAGTTAGCAAGCCCAAGTGGCTTCACACACATGACCGTGTGCACCCACACGAGGGACACACACACACACACACACACACACACACACATATTTATATTTGTGGTCAGCAACTTGCTAAATTGAGGGGAAATATATTTAATCTTGGCCTGTGCTGTTGCAAAAAGGGCCGTCCCAATTTAATTTGCCGGCTGTGATAGTTACATGTGCTGACGTGCCGCGTATCCATGGTGGACCAAATTGGATTTGTGTATTATTGCTTTCTAAATTGCATGCCTAGTTCAGCAAAATTGTTCATCAGTGTTTACTGGCTTTATGCTTAATAAGATGCCCCACAATACCTTGCTGCCAGGATGTAATGCAGCCCTTAATTGCCTAGTAAAAATAAATTACATAAAGTTGGCTTTATCAACTTATCTAAATCCTCTCACACCACAACCAATAATTAAATGCTGAGAATGTTTTTTCAAAAAATATAACTCAATGATTGTTACTTCCCTCATTTTAATGACCGCATTTGGGGGCAGACAGTAATTCCTTCAGTGTGGAGGCGCGATGGGGAGACCTCAGCTGCGTCTGTCCCTGCGAAGCCACTCGGTTGGCGTCTGGGCGGGAATGAAGCAGCTGCCCCACGGCCCCAGGTGGCTGCTGGGCGTGCAGGCAGCCTGTGCACCAGGACACGTGTGTGCATGTGTGCTGTGGACAAGTCTGAGCAACCAGCTGGTCCCGAGCACTTTTACATTCAGACTGAGTCCAAATCTCTGAGGGGCTCCTTGGATAAACCATGCTCAACTGACAGTCCTGCTGCCACTGACTGGTGAACAGCTTCCAGGCGGAAGTTAGAGAACAGGGTGCCTCAACGTGCTCCTCCTGCCCCTATGGCACCTGAGGACATGGGACACGTATGCACATATCCATGTGTCATGCCCGATCCTGGCCCCTTTCTGACTATCAGTTTTTTGTTTTGTTTTTAAATATTTTTTGTTTGTTTGTTTTTTTTTTACAGAGAAGGGAGAGGGATAGAGAGTTTGAAACATTGATGAGAGAGAAACATCAATCAGCTGCCTCTTGCACACTCCCAGCTGGGGATGTGCCCACAACCAAGATAGATACCCTTGACTGGAATCGAACCTGGGACCCTTGAGTCCACAGGCCGATACTCCATCCACTGAGCCAAACCTGACTATCAGTTAGGACTATCAGTTTTGAGCAATGTTATGAGCAGAAGACATGCACTGGCACCTGTATCTGCTAACTCTAAGCTGGGCTCGGCTAGGGGGATAAAGTGGGTGCTGAGCTCCTGGCAGAGGCGGCGGCCTGCAGTGGTGACCCGGGTTCCCTGGCATGAGCTGTGATGGGGGTTACATCCGCCCTGGTGGCAGGAGTGAAGGACAGTGGTTATGTGCTTCTGGGTAACTTTGGGGGAGTTACTGAACCTCTCTGTGCCTCAGTTTCCTCCTTCCTCACCATGTCATGGAGACGTCTGCTATAAGGGCTACATGAGGGCTGAGAACGCACGACCGTGTGCCCCAAGGCTGCTCCTGCCGCTCTCCCTCAGGCGGCAGTGACGCTGTGGTGGCATGGTGCCAGGGACTCAGCGGCAGCAGGAGGACACATTTCCTGCCCCAACCCGAAGAGGCTCTGCTCCGAGCAGTGGTTCTCGTCCTGGGGCATGTGCCAGGAGCCACCTGGGTACTCGACACAGAAACCCTAACAGCACCATCTTTCTGGGGCCGGGCTGGGCCGAGCACAGGACCTGGCTCTGTGTTTCAGTAACCTCCTGGGCGATGCCGAGGCCGTGGCCCTCAGCGCCAGTGTGAGGAGCTCGCTGTGGGGAGCTGTGGGGGCCCCAGCATGAACCGGGCAGCCTGGGCCTGTGACCTTCCTCTCCCTGGGGATACAGCGCGACCCCTACCTGCTCCTGTTGCAGCCTGGCTCTCCAGCCCACCGGCTCTGGCTGGGGAGTTGGACATTGCAGAGCCACCAGGCAGGTGGAGAGAGAGGTAAGCTCTGCAAGATGCAGCCCCTCCAGATGCTCAGGAGGCCTGACAACCGCCATCTTCCTGTTCTCATAGCCACGCCGCATGCCCCAGCTCTTGGTCCCTGCAGGCTGAGGCCGAGGCTGCCACTCAGCAGAGCTTCTCCACCTGCTACACTCCCTCAGCCTCCGCAGTAACCCTGCTCCTGTCTCCCCAGCACGCAGGTCAGACTCTCACTGGCCTCCCTGGCTGCATGGCCTGGGGAGCTGCAGCCCTCGGGCTGAGGAGGGGGCAGGAGAGGGCAGGCTGAGCAAGCAAAGGCACCTCGCTGCACCCTTGGCGGGCACCTACCTTTCGGGCTGCTGGGCAGAGCCGAGGGCTCCTCCAGTGCCACCTGACCAGGAACAGACACCTTCATGTCTTCCGTCTTCCAAATCTGTGGAAAAGAGAAACGCCATGGGCAGGGGAAGCGGCTCAGGGCCCTTCCATCACAGCTGGGTGAGGGAGGGGAGAGAGGGCACCCTCCGGGGAGGGAGGGCTGGGTGCCTTGTCTCCACTGATGTTCATGTATTCTTGGGGAAAGGTTGCTTAGGCTCCAGCTTTCCAGTGCAAAGTGTTAGCCAAGCTGCAGCTCAGATGGCTCCTTCTCCAACCCGTGTGCTGACAATACATCCCACTCCACCCGTGAGCTCACAGTACATCTCCCCCCACCCCTGTGTGTGTGCTCACAGTACATCTCCCTCCACCCCTGTGTGTGCTAACAGTGAATCTCCCCCCACCCCTGTGTGCTCAGAGCACATCTCTCTCCACCCTGTGTGTGTGCTCACAGTACATCTCCCTTCAGCCTGTGTGTGTGCTCACAGTATTACTTCCCCCACCCCTGTGTGTGTGCTCACAGTACATCTCCCCCCACCCCTGTGTGTGTTCACAGCACATCTCCCTCCACCCCTGAGTGCTCACAGTGAATCTCCCCCCACCCCTGTGTGCTCAGAGCACATCTCTCTCCACCCTGTGTGCTCACAGTACATCCCCCCTCCACCCTGTGTGTTAACAGTACATCTCCCTCCCACCTGTGTGTGTGCTCACAATACATCTCCCCCCACCCCTGTGTGTGTGCTCACAGTACATCTCTCTCTACCACTGTGTGTGTGCTCACAGTACATCTCCCTTCAGCCTGTGTGCTCACAGTACATCTCTCCCACCCCTGTGTGTTCACAGTACATCTCTGTCCACCCCTGTTTTCTCACAGTACATCCCCCTCCACCTCTGACCTGCAAGGAGAAGGGTCAGCAGCCAGTTTGTAACCAAGTTACCAGCTAATGCCATCTTGTCCCTCTGCCACCCCGCCCTGGACCCCCCTTCACCATTCAGGAGCTGGGCCTCCATCCTGACTCTGGTCCCAGCCATGCTGTCAGTACCCTCAGGGTGATCACATAGGGCTTGCACTTGCTGAGTCTGGACTTCTGTCACTGAAGGTCAAGGACCAGCCTCCACTTAAATGCACAGATGCTTCTGTGAGCTCCACAGCAGCCCCTGCAAACTCTGGCTGTGCAGGAGCCCAGCTCCCAAGCTGAGCAATGGGGGCAGGGGGTAAGGGGACTGAGGGGGGAGGAACCCATGAAGAAATGCACCTGGTACTCAGCCAGCCTGGCTCCTCTGGCTGACCATGTGGACCATGTGTCACCGAGCGCAGACCTTTGGCCTCCTGGCCCTGCAGCCAGCTCAGGACACCCTGCTCTCTGCAAAGTCCTGGTGCCCCTCGCCACATATGGAATCTGTATGGGGCCTCCTCAGCCTTGTCTCTCCTGTCTGTGCAGCTGCCCCACTGTGTGGCCTCCTCCAGACTCTCTGACTTTCCCTTATCCTTGGAAATCAGTTGAAATGCCACCTCCTCTGATGTCTTCTCTGTTGGAAATAAATGCCTCTCCTTTCAGAATATCCACCATGTTAGCCATTCTGCTTCATGAAGCATCATCTCCATGATGATTCTGAGACTGAGTGTGAGGCCTCTGGAGGGCAAGGCTAAAAGAGCAAGCTTTCTAAATGCTTATAGAATTCCATGGGCATTTTCTGGAATACCCTGTAGTATTCAATTAACATTTCCTTTCATAAACTGTTGAATTCAACTGACAGTTTTTTGAGTGGGCCTCTTGTTTATCTTTACTCATTTCTTCATCCTTCCTTCCTGTCAGTTGCAGAAACATCACCTGTATTTTGTTTTTCCCAACCTATTCTCTCCACCTCAATGTTAATCTCTCCTCCCCTTTTTCGCTTCTTCTCTCTGTGGCTCTCCTCAGAGAGGATCCATAGCACATTTCAATGATCCTAATGATAGCATAAACCACATGAGTGTGTTTTCTGCTTGCCCCTCTTCTGGAATATGAGTATTGAGGACAATGACCTATTTATCATTACTGTCTGTGTGTCCTATGGTGACTGGCACAGAGCCAGAGTTCAATGACTGTTACATGGATGGATGGATGGATGGATGGATGGATGGATGGGTAGTTGGACAAACCATTGGGTGGTTGAATAGATTCATAGATGGAGGGGTAGATGGGAGGATACATGGATGGAAAGAACAAAGGGAGAAAGAAAGGAAAGAAAGAAGGAAGGAAGGGAGGAATGAAGGAAGGAGAGAAATAAATAGTTGGGTAGATGGTGGATCTTTTACTGGATGGATGGATGGATAGATGGGTAGGTAGAAAGATAAATAGTTGGATGAGCACTGGGCTATGTTCTTATGCATTTGGCCATTCAACTTTCATACCTTTGCTGAATGTTTATTTCATTATGTGAGAGTATGTCTGTACAAATTAGACATGCATATTGGAAAGGGCCTTGTCTTTGCCCTCACTTGCTACAGGAAACTGGTCGGGGATGGTCGCATGCAGCCTGTAGATTCAGACCATTGGTGGAAGAAAGCAGAATAAAGATGAATACATTCTTGTACCGTGCCCTCATCTCACCCGGCACACCTACCCGGACCATGCCGTCTCGACTTCCGGTGATGATGGCGTGGCTTGCGTCCCATGCTGGCCCCTCCGCCATGCAGCAGCAGGTTATGGCTCCTTCCGGGCCCCAGGCTGTGGTGATGCTGGCCAGGGGCTGTCCGTTGACATTCCACAGGGACAGATGGGCTCCAGCACAGGAGACAATGGTGCCCTGCGCAGGGAGACCTGGCTTCACTCCAAGCGGGGTCACTGCCTGGCCCCAGCCTCCTGCTCAGCCACTTGCTCAGCCTCTCAGTCTGTGCACCAGGCACCCTCAACCCATTGTCTTCTGAAGACTAACCAGGTACTCCGAGAGACACCCGCTCTTCCCAGCTGACTCGGGTCTGCCCTGCATTCTTGCGCAGCTGTGAGTGCCCAGCTTTTCAAACATCTGCTTGCCCGGACACTGCTTTCCCTGCACAAGCTGGTGGGCTTGCCCTTTGGACTCCTCACAGTTCTCTCCCTGACAGTATACTGACTGGCAGGGTTTAGCCTGGCATGAGTGTTCACAGAGCCTACCTGGCTGGCCATCCCTGTCCCTAAGAAGTTTTGGACATTACCTGGTAGAGGGCAGAGCACAGAGGCTCAAATGGCTACACGTGGCTCATAATATTGAATAATATCCCTCTGGAGGGAATTTCTGTTGGAAAAAATTCCCACTGCATCTTCTAAATGTTTATACCCAGAGCGTTTGCGCCTCTAGTCCTTGTCGTTTGTTCCAGTGGGTTAGTGGCCGCTGTCACAGGGATGCATAGTGCCAGGCCTTTGAAGCTTGTATTACTAACAGAAGGGGGTCAGGAGCTCTGTATCCTCCCCCGCCTCCTGGGCTGGCTCCCCCATGCCCCTGCCTCGTTGTTTGGAATAGTCTGCCTGAGGCCAGAGACCATGGCTGCCCAGCACTGAGCACTGGGATCAGCAGGTACTTAGTAAACTAAGTTGGCTTCTGGACAAGTTGAGTTCAATGAGTTGTTGTCCCGGTATAAGTTTTCTCTGAGTTCTGGGGACATCGTTTATTCTAGGCTTTACATTCTTTTTTTTTTTTTTTTTAATAATATATATTTTATTGATTTTGTACAGAGAGGAAGGGAGAGAGATAGAGAGTTAGAAACATCAATGAGAGAGAGTCATTGATCAGCCTCTTGCACACCCCTTACTGGGGATATGCCCGCAACCAAGGTACATGCCCTTGACCGGAATCGAACCCGGGACCCTTCAGTCCCCAAGCCGACGCTCTATCCATTGAGTCAACCCAATCTCGGCAAGGCTTTACATTCTTGCAGATCAGTTTGGTACCTTCCTGATACATCCACTCATTCATCTTTTCATCCAGCATCCTCCATTCTTCCACCATCCACTCACTAGTCACCCAAACATCCAGCCACCCCCAAACCTATGTATCCATCTAACTATCCCTCTGCCATCCATCTACCCCATCATTCTCCATCAATCCACTCATCTATTCACCCTCCATCTGCCCACATAACATTCATTTTGGATTCAAGTCCATCCAAAGCATCATTTTCAGCCAAAGTTGGCACTAGGGAGACCCTCCACCATCTCCCCTCCTCCCAAGTTCCCCTTTCCTGCTGTGCCCATGCCCCGGAGCCCTGAGGTTTCTGTGAGCAGATGTGGGCCTCAGCATCCTCAGGGAAGTCTCTGCCCCATGATGGGGATTCTAGCTTAGGAGAAACTCCGCACTGAGAGCGGTCTCTCTCTCTCTCTCTCTCTCTCTCTCTCTCTCTCTCTCTCTCTCTCTCTCTCTCTCTCTCTTTCTCTCTCTCTCTCATAACACACACACACACACACACACACACACACACACACACACACACTTTCCCCACAGGCAGCCAGCATGGAGAGATGAGCAGCACCTCCCGCCATGGATACCAGAGGCACCTGCTGAGTCAATGCTGATTTGCAGTCAATAAGCTGAATTAAGCCCAGCGACTCCTCACCAAGCCAACCTCTTGCCACACTCCATGGTCCCCATGCAGAACAGAGACTCCCACTGCTCCACTGCCCCAAGGGAGAAGATAAGGAAGCACAAAATAAAACCTAGACCCCGGTGCTGCACATGCCAATGGCTCCATTCTGCATTTGGGGCACTCTGAACATCCGGGTGCTCAGCCCCTGGGTTTCTCGAGGGCACCACCTACCATGCACACAGCCAGGCTCCCAGACAAGTCAAGGACACAGATGTGAGAAGGGGGCCTCACCGAGATGTCACTGATGGCCACGGTGGATATGGCTTCCTGATGGGCGGGCAGGCGGGCCACGTGGGTGAGGTAGTCCAGGTCCCACAGGATGCAGGTGCAGTCCTGGGCGCCGCTCACCAGGATGCTGAAGGTGACTGATGCCGCCAGGCAGGTGACAGCCTGGGTATGTCCATACAAGGCCTGGGACAAGAGATGGGACCACAGGTTGGCGGGTGGGGGGCAGCAGTCCAGCTACTTAGTGAGATGCTCTACCCTTCCTTTCACTGTCTGGCCCAGGTGAGGAAGCAGAGGTGGAGTGATTCAGTGATTCCGGAGCCCCTGGAGGTGTGAGTGTGTGTGTGAGTGTGCATGTGTGTGAGTGTGTGTGTGAGTGTGTGAGTGTGTGTGTGAGTGTGTGAGTGTGTGTGTGTGTGTGAGTGTGTGTGTGTGTGTGAGTGTGTGAGTGTGTGTGTGTGAGTGTGTGTGTGTGAGTGTGTGTGTGTGTGTGTGTGTGAGTGTGTGAGTGTGTGTGTGAGTGTGTGTGTGAGTGTGTAAGTGTGTGTGTGAGTGCACACATGGCTGCCCTCAGTTCCGTCTGTCCCCAGCTGAGGCCCAGCTGGAAGGAACGTGTCCCTTTATCATAACCCAGCAGAGGCGGCAGCACCTGTGCTCTGTCCCCGTATGTGTCTCTCGTCCTGGGCAGCAGGTGCTACTGCTAATGGGCAAGGGCGCTGTTTTTGTGTGCACCCAGCCAGCAGCAACCACATCTGGGAGCTGGTGGCAGAGGCAGACGCTTGGGCCCTCCCCCAGACCTATAGTTAGTTAGAAACCCCAGGGAGCCCACCGCCAGGTCTTCACAAACCCGCCGGAACTTCCACACACACTTCAAGTTTGGGCACCACACTGAGGGTCTCCAGAAATGCATGTGACCCTGAAGAAAGCAGGGAGCATAGGTCATAGTAACAGAAGGTGACTTTGCAAATCGATGGAACCACGTTCAGAGCCGGTCTGGCCACGAGGCGGTGGGTGACTCCGGCCCGGGCTCAGCCCCTCAGCGTGGCCTGTGCAGTGTCAGGCCTGGCTTGTGGATGGTTATGTGTCCAGATCTGGCCAGAGGGCTTGTTCCCTAGAGACACGTCCCAGGAGCTGGGCAGTGCTACTGGCGCAGGTGTGGCCATAACCGCCAGAGGCTGGGTGGGTGATGTGAAGCTGCTGCACAGGCATGCGTCTGATTGCGGAGGTGGCGTCTGAATGTGGTCGCCGCTTCCCTAGCAGTAAACCTCCGTCTTCAGAATAGACCGCTGCGCTCACTTGGGTCAAAGCTGTCATCTGCCTGGTCACAGCAATGACAGGTTCTGCCTCAGATTTCCATGCGTCCTCAGTGGAACCTAACGTGGCACCACCGGATGGTGCTGGGAGGTTCTGGGCATGGCACGGAAACCCTTTGAATAGAGGAAAGTGGGGGTTTGGTGTGAACTTTCTGGCTGTTTTCTCAGGGGGAGCTAAGTCTGATGACTCAGTGCTGACCACAGGGACATGGTGACTCCAAAGGGTGCCGGCCAGTGGCCGAGGGGAGGCTGGGGTCCCAAGAGAGAAGCGCTGAGCCCGGGGTAATTGGGGCCAGGCTGCTGCTCTCTGGGGAGAGCACACACAGGCAGCCAGCACCCGCCCCCGGAAAGGCCTGGGAAGCCAGAGAGGGTTCCATTGTGTCCCCAACCAGGTCCTCTGTTCCTCAGAGTAACTCTTCCCTCCACGGTCAGCTACAATAGCCTCATTAGGTCATCTCATACCTAAGCGAAGTTCCAAAAGTTCATAAATGAAGACCTCTGAGATGATTCTTCTTGCTAGCCGCTGAGGCGAGCCACCCTCTCCAACCCCCCCCCCCCACACACACACACAGCTAAGTGTGGGAGGCACGCAAAGCAATGGGGCTGCTACAGAAAGTGGTGCTCACTGCGTCGCTGCTCCGCCAGTTAAACCGTGCTCAAGGACACAATCCATCAAACACACTAGCGATCTGCAGAGGATGTGGCCTGCGCTGTTCCCATCCATCCATGCTGGAAACAGTGGTGATGGGACTGTGGCTGGTGGCCATGAACCAACTGAAATGTCATCCATGGAAATGAAACTTTGGGGAATGAATGAAGTGTGAATTATAGAGACTGTGGAAGAGCAAACAGCTTGCTAGGTGGGGGACGTGGACTAAGCACATCCACACGCTGACCAGGAGACAGGAATGTGTGCGCCTGGGTGGTCGCAGGACCAGAGACAGCTTCTCTGGGGATTACAGAGAATCATTCTGCTTTGGAGTGAATTTGAAGTTTGTCTTTAATGGTGTAATCTCTTTTAAAATAGAACAATCTCAAAGTCTGTCTATGGCGCTACTGAATGATGACTTCTCTGTTTACCGGCTGGGGACAGACCCTGCTGATCAGCAGCTGATATCCGGGGGCTCCAAGTTTGATTTTGCCCAGAAGGACCACCACACCCTAGGACACACCTGCCCTAGACACACACCTGCTGACTACTTCTGGGGAGGAGGGTAAATTCCATGCGATGCTGTCAGGGGCTTCACAGCATCTGCACTCCGAGGGGCCTGGGGCTGCTGCGGGAGGCCTGTTCCCTGGCTCCCCCGGGCCAGTTTGGAGAGGGGCTGTACCTCTCACCATTCCCGAGAGCAGCCTGGGAGAGGGGATAGTCCACGGGGAATGCAGGATTCCCCGGGCTCTGGAATAAAATGCAGCAGCGGGTGGTCATGAAGGAGCCACATGCACGGGGCCAGGCAGGAGCACCGCGCTGCTCACTGCACCTCATTGCCTGCTGCCCCTCAGCAGTGCCATTACCTCCACCTACAGGACAACCCCGCCCAGTGCAGCCCCAGCACATCCCTCTGCCCGGCTACTGAGGGCCGCCACGCACCACCCAGGCGCGGGTTGACGTGGACACAGAGAAACCCAGATCACATCCTGTGACATGTGTCCCACTGAGGAAACCTTGTCCGTGGTCAGCTGTGTGATTAGCTTTGGTGTTGCTACACGAGGGCTGCATGGCCAGTGACCAGCAGACAACACTGCAGCTTAGAGCGGGCAGTCCCTGGGGGTCTTCGTGGGCAGGTTCGAGAGCGCGCAGGGAGAGCACGGGGTTCACAGGTGGGCAGACGGGCCTGGAATGCAGACCCACCTGTTGGGCTCCGCTCTGAAAGTAGGATGACAACACCTGCCCTAGGAGGTCAGATGCTGGTGCAGGGCTTCCGGAAGCAGTAGGTGCCCTGCCCTTCCCTGTGAGAGGTGGTGCCTGGTGCGAGGGACCAGGATTCTCGGCAGCCCACCCCCTGACTGCTTTGCGCACTCCCTGCCGCAGCCCCTCCTGCTTCATTCCTGGCGCCATGACTTTGGCTGAGTCATTCCAGCTCCTTGCACCTCTCCCCCCACCCCGCGTGCACGGATGACAAAGGACCACAGGCTGAGGAGGGAACATGCAGCTGCCACAGAACAGTGCCAGGCAGAGCTCACACACATCCCGAGGGCAGGACACCAGGTGCACTGGCGCTGATGTGCACGTCACGCCTTTCATGTCAAATCCACCCTGGGCACAGAATGGTGCCCTCCATGACCCAGAGCTGGTGCCACCTTCACACCGCCCTGTTGGGGCATGTGAAGGCCTGTGCCTGCCCAGGGCAGCCCTACCTTAGGCACCACACCTGCCCTGGGGACACACTTGCCCTAGACACACACCTGCCCTAGACACACACCTGCCCTAGGACACACCTGCCCTAGACACACCTGCCCTAGACACACACCTGCCCTAGACACACCTGCCCTAGACACACACCTGCCCTAGACACACACCTGCCCTAGGCACACGCCTGCCCTAGACACACACCTGCCCTAGACACACACCTGCCCTAGACACACCTGCCCTAGACACACCTGCCCTAGACACACACCTGCCCTAGACACACACCTGCCCTAGACACACCTGCCCTAGGCACACACCTGCCCTAGACACACCTGCCCTAGACACACACCTGCACTAGACACACCTGCCCTAGACACACACCTGCCCTAGACACACCTGCCCTAGGCACACACCTGCCCTAGACACACCTGCCCTAGACACACACCTGCACTAGACACACCTGCCCTAGACACACACCTGCCCTAGACACACACCTGCCCTAGGCACACACCTGCCCTAGACACACACCTGCCCTAGACACACACCTGCTCTAGGACACACCTGCCCTAGACACACCTGCCCTAGACACACACCTGCCCTAGACACACACCTGCCCTAGGACACACCTGCCCTAGGACACACCTGCCCTAGACACACCTGCCCTAGACACACACCTGCCCTAGACACACCTGCCCTAGACACACACCTGCCCTAGACACACACCTGCCCTAGACACAGACCTGCCCTAGACACACACCTGCCCTAGACACACACCTGCCCTAGACACACCTGCCCTAGACACACACCTGCCCTAGACACACACCTGCCCTAGACACACACCTGCCCTAGACACACCTGCCCTAGACACACCTGCCCTAGACACAGACCTGCCCTAGACACACACCTGCCCTAGACACACACCTGCCCTAGGCACACACCTGCCCTAGGACACACCTGCCCTAGGACACACCTGCCCTAGACACACACCTGCCTAGGACACACCTGCCCTAGGCACACACCTGCCCTAGACACACACCTGCCCTAGGACACACACCTGCCCTAGACACACACCTGCCCTAGGACACACCTGCCCTAGGACACACACCTGCCCTAGACACACACCTGCCCTAGGACACACCTGCCCTAGGCACACACCTGCCCTAGGACACACACCTGCCCTAGACACACACCTGCCCTAGGACACACACCTGCCCTAGGACACACCTGCCCTAGACACACACCTGCCCTAGACACACACCTGCCCTAGACACACACCTGCGCTAGGACACACACCTGCCCTAGACACACACCTGCCCTAGGACACACACCTGCCCTAGACACACCTGCCCTAGACACACCTGCCCTAGACACACCTGCCCTAGGCACACACCTGCCCTAGGACACACACCTGCCCTAGACACACCTGCCCTAGACACACACCTGCCCTAGACACACACCTGCCCTAGACACACCTGCCCTAGACACACCTGCCCTAGACACACCTGCCCTAGACACAGACCTGC